CATCCATTTAAGGAATGGTTGGCTACTTAAGCAGAAGGTAGGGGACACCTAGCTGGAGGCCACAATTGGAGGAGGTTAAATCCATTCATTCACTCCACGCTGGGGACCATGGGGAAGTAGGAGCGGGGCTTGACCTGATGTGTTTGACCTGGAGAACTCTGTGCTCAGCCAGCGGCAGGACAAAAACCGGAGCTTTGTCTTCCCCATCAAACTAAAAGCGCAGACCAGTGCATGACATAGTGACCAGCGCAAGAAGGAGCTGAAGGAAACCTGGGGTTCCGGGTCAGTCTGCCTGGACAAGGGAAACAGCACTCTCCCTGGGAACAAAAGTCTGGGTCTTCTGACTCTTCAGCAGGTTTACTGGGAGAACCTGGATGTTAGCAAAGCCTTTTGAATGGGGGTGTATTTATTTTGCTTGTAGGCCTGCCTACCCAGCACACCGAAGACAAAAGTATTAGAAGAGCCCTGGCCGGTGTGGCTCAATTGGTTGAGCATGGTCCCATGCACTGAGAGGTCACCAGTTTGATTGCTGGTCAGGACACATGCCTTACAGGCTCCATCCGCAGTAGGGGGTGTGCAGTAGGTAGTACATAGAGGTTTCTCTCCCCCTCTCCCTCTAAAAGATCAATAAAAGACAACAACAAAAACAACCAAAGAAAGTACTAGAAGAGAAACACTTTTGTGTGTGTCAACAAGATGAGAAACAAAAGCAAAATGCTAACCTATAAAGGGAACCTCAGTTAGGTCATCTGTAAAATGGGGATGGGAGAGGGAAAGTCCACCCTTACCTTTTTTAAAAAAATATATATGTTTTTATTGATTTCAGAGAGGTAGGGAGAGGGAGAGAGAGATAGAAATATCCATGATGAGAGAGAATCATCTATCGGCTGCCTCCTGCACATCCCCTACTGGGGATCAAGCCCACAACCCAGGCATGTGCCCTTGACCAGAATCGAATCTAGTATGTCTAGGGTTCCTGCAATTTTTCTGTGAAGTTATTTCCCCACTTTAGCTTTTAAGTGAGCATGTGAGTATAGCATCTGAATGCATTGGGTTGGTGTCATGGCGATCTGGCGGCCATTCAGTAATATGTTGATTTAGTGCCAGTTACTATAGGGTCAAATATTATAGGTGAGATACATAGTATAACCCCACTCAACCTCCCAGCCCCAGATGCCCTGGACTGGATAGATTTGATGGTTCGTCCTAATTGATTTTAGATTGTCAAACCTCTACCTGAGGCTTTCTCTCTCTCTCTCTCTCTCTCTCTCTCTCTCTCTCTCTCTCTCTCTCAATAAAGAGCTACTTCTCTGGTCTCTTACTCAGTGGTTCTCAACCTTCTGGCCCTTTAAATACAGTTCCTCATGTTGTGACCCAACCATAAAATTATTTTCGTTGCTACTTCCTAATTGTAATGTTGCTACTGTTATGAATCGTAATGTAAATATCTGATATGCAGGATGGTCTTAGGCGACCCCTGTGAAAGGGTCGTTGGACCGCCAAAGGGGTCGCGACCCACAGGTTGAGAACCGCTGGATTAGATAATAACATGCAACATAGACATGAAGAGACACATACAATGATGACAACTGGTTTTCACAGTCTCGGGTATCATTATAATTATTGTGTGGCATCAGTAAAAAATGTTCTGTTAGTTGTAAGCGAACAGATCCTGGATCCTGGGATATGAATTTACTTTTGTAGTTGTTGTTAAGTTAGATTTCTATTTATTTCCACCTTTTCCTTTAAGAACAAGTGGAGAGGGACACTTGGGAGGACTGGTTGTAACATGCTGACTCATCTGGGGTGCCGAGAACACCGAAGCGATTTGAAAAAGTGATATCAAAGACATCGTGGAAAACAATTAAAAAGATAAACTCTCGACATGCATGAGTCCAGAGAAGCAACTGGGTGGATGCTCCTACCCCACGGGCCCTCCTATCCCTAACTAAGTTGTCTGGCTCTGGCAGCCCTGATACCGGCCTGAAAGAAAGATTTCTGTGTTTACGCTATTTTAACAGTTGATTTTCCCTGTGTTTTGACTGTGATCAGGGCATTGAAGCTCTAGGCACTTCATAAGGATTTAAGAATTTATTAGTTTTTCAGGAGATGGTGAGAAGTGTACACTTCTCTCTCCTGCTTAAGGCAAAAGCTTCCAAAAGGTGTTTGCTTTCAACTTTCATTTTAGTTTCACTTAATGTGAAGAAGAAAAAAGCGAGAGATCCGTGTTCCACAGCATTCATTATGTAGAGTGCTTGGTGGTTTTACATGAAATATTACTGAACGACTCTGCAGTGAACAGTGAGCATTTCATAAACTTTAGGAAGTGGACATAGATTGAGTTAGCACTAGAAAAGCATGTCACTCTACAAGAGCCTCTAGAAGGTGCTAAAAATTATGAGGAAATAAAAATAACTACCTAAAATAAAATACATAATAAATAAGATGATAAAATAACGCATAAAATTTAAAAACAGGTTTGTGTAGGACTGGATGATGACTATGGGGGAGAGAGAGAGAGAGAGAGAGAGAGAGAGAGAGAAGGGGGAGGGAGTAGAAAGAGAGAGAATATGGACTGTAAATTCACTTATGGATGTGCAGTGCTGGGCTGAATGAAGCATCAGAAGTCAGACATATAACAGAAAAGGTGGCTGACATAGGCTGCTAAATGTAGGTACTTCCATATATCCAAGTACAACAGGTAACATCACTGCCTGTTTGAATATTTTCCCTGTGGACTTGCTTCCATAGCATAAGGGCTCTCTCACCTAGGCTATCTAATATGTAAGGACATTATATATAAAAATGGTTACTCTCCAAATGTGAAATAACATTGCATGTTTCTGAAAATTGGAACAATTTTTTATTTTTATTTCATTTATTGGGGTGACAATGGTTATTTAATGTACAGATTTTGTAACAGGGAACAGTTTTTGAAAGGAATGATTCCCCGACTTGAGATGGTGACAGTTTCTGTTTCACCCAACCATAACAGGGTAGTAAGAGTCAAGCACTTTTTCAGGTAGAAGGAATATTTTGCTGGAAAAGAGATAGACTGAAAATGTGTTGATGCGTAGGAAACAGTTGTTAATCCTTTGTGCGCACAAGTTAAAATCGAGGACATATGAAATTAAATCTCATAAGAAAAATGTGATAAGCAGGCATCGAAAATATTAATACTCTTTATTATACAGTATGAGCGGCTCTGTAATGCAGTAATGACAGTATACCCAGGAGCTCAGGACTGACAAGACACTAAATAGTTTTAGCTATCTGTGCATGTTGAATAGTTTTGTCATATTACATTGAAAAATCTTCCTCACTTATTTTATTTTGAACCCAAAACCTTTTGGTGCAGGGGACAATGCTCCATCCAACTGAGCCCCTCAGCCAGGGCAGTATTAATATTTTGACATTTCAGCCTAGTCTTTCCCCTTTTCTTCTTCTTTTTTAAAAAATATATTTTTATTGATTCCAGAGAGGAAGAGAGAGAGAGAGAGAGAGAGAGAGAGAGAGAGAGAGAGAGAGAGAGAGAGAAACATCAGTGATGAGAATCATTGATTGGCTGCCTCTTGTCTGACACACACTGTGAGCCCTGGACCAGTATCGAACCTGGGACCCTTCAGTCTGCAGGCAGACTCTCTTACCACTGAGTAAAACCAACTAGGGCAACTCTTTTCTATTATTTCTCTCTCTTCTTCAATGCACACACATTTAAACTTATCCAATTGGAATCATACTGTTTATAGTCTTATATCCTGCTTTTTCCACTTAACATACCATGAGCATTTTTCCATGTCATTAAGTATGCTTTGAATATGGTCTTGGCCACATAAAATTCCATCCTGTTGGTGCACCTGTTTTCTTTTAAGCTAAGATATATGCCATGTTCCCCTATTATGCCGGACTCTTAAAAAGCCAAGAGAAATACTTTGTGTTGGTCCACCATGAGCCTCTTATGAATTGCTATTTTTGATTCGCTTTATAAAATGCACCCACTACTGGACACTGGATATAGTGGATGGTTAATAAGCAGTCGAAAGGAGCTTCCATCCACTGGACGATGTGAGTCAGTCACCCACATCACCCTTACAAATATATAGTGCCAACAAATGTCACAAATGCTTTTTCCTCTTCTGTGACTGCCACAAATGAACTTCAGACTCATAGGGACCCACCTCAAAACAGTCTCAGTGCAGTTCTAAGCTTTAATCACTTCAGAAATAAGCTTACAAAAACATTTCTTAAAGATTGACTTAATTTTACTTTATTCTTAGTTTTGTGACTTTGGAAAATTTGTAATTCTCTGGTCTCGGTCTGTTCAAACAAAAGGGCTAGCCATCTTCAGAGGACTGATGACGTTTTAAAACAATCTGCTGGAGACTTTGATGCTGACTTCTTTAGGGTTATAACTAGAAGTAATATCTGCAACACGCACTAAGCATAAATGAGTCCTTTAATCCTCAGGAGGGCACTGTGGAACTATGTTCTTAGGGTTCTCCGCTGTGGGAAGTTTCTTTTGTTACAAACTGTTCTGAACGCAAGGCCAGGCCTCGAAGAGACAGATTTTTATATTTTCTTTTCATTTTAAAGAAAAAACATAAGGATCTCTTAAAATGTGAACCTGGAATGTGTGTTTATATTATGAATACTTTCATATTAAACTGAGCAAATTGAAGAATGATTGATTGAGCTCTTTCTGCCGGGAAATTCATACTCAGGTAAGGGAACTGCTTTTCATGTACTTTTATGTACATTGAAAAAAGCAACCTGAAAAGGTAAATTTAATTCTATGAGCTCCATTACTCAGAGTTTTCAGCCCTACCACATAGATTGCATTTATTGCCAAACTAACTAGTCTTTTAAAGTCTTCTTTTAAATCTGTTGTTGAGATAAAATTTGGCTTTTTAGCGTGCTTTTCTCACGTCCTACCCACTGTGTTTAAACTGACGTTTCTGTTACCTACATCTTCAGGGAGGAAAACAAAACAAAAGGCAATGTTCAGATAAAATATTATAGGTTTATTTAAAACTTAATTCTCACCTTGAGTATGCAAAATACAAACTCCACAAAATGTTCATTTTACTTTGTAGTTTACAAATATACAAAATAGAAGTTTGCTTAAATTTATATTACATATTTATTAAGGCAAGGAACTATATAGAAAAACACATTTGTTCTGCTTAAGGCATACTTGGGAATAAACCATTGTACAAATTATTGCACATCTGAAACCACAGTGCATAACAGACTGTCTGCATAAAAAATGTTAAAGTAAACCAGGTGTATTTACCTGACTTAGGTCATACATGTAGATCGGAATACAAAAATAGATTTTCCTTGTCAAAGTATGCAGCAGTTTGAGAACTTTGGCTTCCTCATTTGGTACCTTTAGAACCAAGACTCACCAAGCACCATCGTTTAGGCTATTAAAACACATTTTCTGTACCTGAATTTCTTCCTCTTCTTCTAATATCATAATAATGGCTTTTAGAAGGCAAAGAGAATACAAGGTGATCTTTATATGTATATTGCATCGAAACACAATTCCAGGGAATACTGGTCTGCCCTCCCCCCGCCCCCCTCCCAACTCACGGATCTAATTTATACCCTGATATCCACAGCTTCCAGTCACCCCCTTGGCGTTTTGTAAGTCCAGGAATATTCAAGTTGGGTTTAGAATCGGAATGATAGAAGATCCAGTCACAGACCCCATCTGTCCTTTGATTTGTCTCTGGGCTTCCTCCCGTCTCCTGATTATCCATTCACAAGTTGACTTGCTGGGAACTTGACCATGATTGTAGTGCTTTCCAGCTGGGTTCCTCCCCTCATTGGGAAGACCGCGTAAAGGGAAAAAAATACTGAATTCTTTTCTGGCAGTGTGGGTCACGTCCACTGTTTGGGGATTTAAAAGTGCCTCTTCATGTGTAAGGCGAGGTGGTCCGACCTAGAGAATGCCCGGTCGCACTTCTGGCACTGGAAGGGGCGGTGCCCAGTGTGTTTTCGGTAGTGCCTGGTCAGTTCATCTGAGCGGGCAAACTTCCACCCACAGCCTTCCCAGTCACAGTGGTAAGGTTTCTCACCTGTAACAGGAAAATAAAGCCGTTAAAGCCATTGCTGAAGGATGAAAAACAGACAGATGATGGGTATACCTGAAATCTATATAATTGTGTTAACCCATGTCACCCCAATAAATTCAATGTAAAAAAATGGAGATTTCTAAAAACAAACGAAACAAAACAAAAAACGAAAGGGTTGAAGAAACATATACCATGCTAACAGTAGTTAAAAGAAAGCTGGAGTAGCTATAGTAATTTCAGAGAAAGCAGACTTCAGAACAAGGGTAATTATCAGGGATAAAGAGGGGTGTTGCATAATGATAAGGGGGTCAATTATCCAAGAAGACATAGCAATCCAGGATAAGTCCACTGAAACAGAAAGCAGATTGAATTTGACCTCAGTAATAAAAACAGAGATGCAATAAAAACAACGACGAAGAATTGGCCATTTGGAAAACTGGAGCCCAAATACTAAGGCCAACTCCCCAAGTACCCAACTCTGAAAGGACCCAGGAATGTCTTTATATCACTTAAGACCATATTAACTTTCAGATTATAAGAATGTGTTATGTACATCCTTTTTTGCTTTTTATTTAAGGAGGCATTAGCTAGATAGTTGAGCAGTGAAAACACACAAATCCACCTCAACCTACACTTCTAGAGGGCTAACATTTTCATTCTTTTGGAGTCAAGATATCACAGTTGTAGAAATGAATTTGGAAATTATGTCTGCTAGAGTGTCTCCCCTAGCCCAAGCCAAGTTATAATAGCCTATCCCACTAACTTGGGTGTAAAAAGCCACAGGAGGCTACTTTTTCTGTACCCACATTTCTGTAATTTTCCTAAATAGTACAACTACACACAACCTTGTGGACCTACATACGCTGACATGGAAGTTCATCCTAAACCAGGATCCCAGCAATCAGACCCATTACATTCTTGAAATGTAAATAAAACCTAATTGTTAAGACTAGGACTAAAAATAGAAGGGTGAATCTAGGAAGGGAACAGCTAATGAAAATTGTCTAGAAAGTAAAAAAAAAAAAAAAAAGGATTAAAAGAATCCCATCCACTGCAAAGTATAATTTCTTGATTACAAGGGCAATGCTTTGCTAGGAGAGGCCCATGTTCAGCCTGGAGTCTCCCTGCCTTTCAAAGGCAGGACAAAACTGCATATTCAAGCACTGATACCATCCATCAAGCAAAAGGCTCCTGGGCAAAAAAGTAGGCGCCCGTTTGCTGCTCTCCCGGGATCCAGGAGATGGAGGAGATAGACTGTACCTCACATCCCAAGGGAGACCATAGTTACCGGGTGGGGCTGGACACCCCCCCCCCATCCTTTCCACGTCCTCCTACCTGTGTGGGTTCGCAGGTGTGCTTTGAGATGAGAACTCTTCGTGTAGGTTTTGCCGCAACCCGCATAATCACAAGTGTGAGTGGCTGTCCTTTTCCGGGGCCACGACCTTCTCCCCCTTTTAGGTTTGGGCTCCTCTGGCATGCAGGACCCGGGTGGCATGAGCTCTAGGGGCGAAGAAGCGGGGGCGGTCAGCCTCACCCCGTGGGCCCCGGCACACGCCGTGCTCCCCAGCCCGAACAAGGAATCCCCAGGACTGACCTTGGTAATGGAGCGGCGGCACCTGCGGCTGCATCTGGTCTGGCAGGAAGGGTGGGTAGTTGGGCCCCGGGTGGGGGTGGAAGCCCGGGGGCAGCGGCAGGGCAGGATGACAGTCCCTGCTGCTCAGCAGTTCCTCGGCTCCCAGGGTCGGGGTAGTCCTGTTGGGGAGCTGCCGCCCCAGGGGGAAGTCGTGCGCCGTCGGCCGGTGGCCGTTGCTGAGAGGAGGTCCCGTGCCCAAGTGGGCCTCCAGGGGCCTGCCCACATGACCGACGGGCTGCCGTACTCACTGCCGGGGGCGCTCAGCGACGCCTTCAACACAAACTTGCCCATCAGCCCGCCACCTGGCGGCTGTTGCTGTTGCGGCGGAATGTACACTGGGTCCAACTCGGGCCGAAGGAGTTCGGCCACGAAGCCGCCCGAGGGGCTCACGTCGTTGATGTCCGCCAGGTTGAAAGGAGCCGTGGGAGGGGGCGCAGACTCGCGGCCATACAGGAGGCCGCCGCTGGTGCTGCCGGGGGCCACGCCCGGGCCCCCCTCGGGCCG